TTTGTAAGTCCACTAAGTTATTAGCATTTAAATGAGTAAGTACAAATTTATTTTGAGTAACTGGAATGAACTTCCCCACACCATGAATTAGTACATTTCTCTTTATTTCTTTTCTTGTGAGGTACATCATACATACAACAAAGAAAAACATGAGTCGTGCACCATGTTAAAAGAATGAGAAAATGAAAACCCATAGTAATGCAGGTTAAAAAATAAAATACTACCGGGAGCTTAGAAGTCCCCTGCATGCCCCTCACAGATCTCATTGTCTCTGTCTTCCCCTCCAGAAGTGATCAAGTCTGAATTTTGTGATAATCAGATTTTTCTCTAACAAAACACTGTTTGCGTCATTTGGTTTAAAACTTCTAACAAATATGACACTGAGTGTATTCTTCTGCAACTTGCCTTTTTTGTTTTAATGTCATGTTTTTGAGATCAACCAGCATTGATGCATATGGCTATAGTCCATTGATTTTTCTCTGCTTTATTTTGTTTATTTATGAGTCGTATATAACATGATTTATTTATCCATTCCATTATTGATGGGTACCTGGTTTGCTTCCCATTGCTTTATCATTATAAACAATGCAATCACTAGTACTCTCATAAATATCTCCTGGATGGGGAGCCACAGATCACCCGAATTCTCCTAAGCACACATTCAACATGTCTCCTCACGTGCACAGGATATCCTCAATTGGTAGCAATCACATTGGTGGCAATGGAATTATTCTAATCATGCATTTGTGATCTTTGAATTCAAACTTCATCATTATTTTGAAATATTTGCTATAGAAAGGTTGAATTAGACTCAGTATCCATTAGCAGCATCACAAGAAATGTTTCTGTATAACATTTGTCAAGAAAGAAAAGAAAGAGCTGCTAGATTCTGTAACTACAATGTCAACTGCTAATTTTGAATGACTTTGTAATTCTTGCTTATGGGAATAAATGTCTTGTCATTGGTGACTATTCAGAATTTAAAGAGATAACTACCGGAAGCCTTAAGTAGAAATCCCACAGCGCCATTTGAAACAAACTAATCTGATTATAAATATATGTCATGCTCCTGGAAGCAAGTTCAAGGTACTAATTTAAAAAAAAAAAAAAAGGAATTTGTTTCATTTGAACATCTTATACAAATTCAGTACCGTTCTTAAAACTTTTTGTAGTAGCTAGCCTCCAAGATGGCCCTCACTGATTCTTGTTCTTTGGTATTCACATCATTGTGTAGTTTCCTCTCCCACTGAATAAGACAGACCTCTGTAACTAATAGGTTATAGCAGAAATAATAATGTGTCTCCTCCAAATATAGACATAAAAGGCTTTATGTCTTATGTCTTGCTTTTTCTTTTTTTTATTTAAGAATAATTTATTATTTAATTTTATTAATTATTATTGTCATTCAAGTTGCCTAGAGAGAAAAAGAGAAAGCCACCAGGCCTGGGACTCGAACCACAGGCAGCCATGTGGGAGTCAAGTGCCTCAATGATCATACCACTGCTAGCCTGATGTCTTGCTTTTTCTTAGATCACTTGATCTTGGGGAGGCCAGTTTCAATATTGTGAAGACACTCAGGTACCCAGGGGAAAGCGCCATGTGTGAAGAAAATGAAGCCTCCTGCCTACAGCTAGCACTGTCCAGCTTGCCTCGTGACTGTGCCATTTTGGAAGTGGCTCTTCTAGTCCCAGATGATCGAGCCCCTGAAGGCAGCCTGTTCGTAACAACATGAGAGACTCTGAGCCATACCCATCCTGCTAAGCTGTTCCCAAATTCCTGACCCACCTTAACTATGTAAGAAAATAAATGTTGATTGCTATTTTAAGCTACTGAATTTTGGGGGTAATTTGTTACATAGTGAGAGATAACTAATACACTTTTTGTTTTATTTTTTATCATAATTATACAATATAAAGAAGTTCCGTTCTCAGAAAAGCTCATAAACATGCCCAAATCACCTTCTAAAGTGGAGATAAAGAGACAAGGTATCTTGTTGAAGAAAATTAAAATTGAGATTGACATTATTCAGCACCTTTCACCCTCAGGAAGACATCTTCAAATCATCTTAACAGGCTCCTTTCTTTCTATTTTTCTGTATGTTGGAACAAGGGGGCAAAAAGGATAACGAGTGGGACCAGCTGATAGCGTAATGGTTATGTCACTGGACACCCACAGGGCTGTGGTTGGAGTCCCAGATGCAGCAGCTTAAAACTCATTTAAAACTCACTCTGGGTGTGTATACATGCGTGCCCAAACTCTCAAGTGGAAAATAGAGAAGAAGGGATTGTGGCTTGGCCATCCCCCTTGAAGGGTGATTTCTTGCTTTCTATCTTTCTGTTTCTCCAGTGAGCACACATGCCCTATAGCAAAAAAAAAGTTCTATACATTAATTAATTGATTTAAAAAAAAAAAACAGGGGTAAAGGCTAAAAAGGCAAGGGGGGGCAGAAATTTTATTTGAAGGATTTATTGAAGTTAATGGTCCTGCATTCACTCTGCATAGTAAACACCAATAGCATTGCCACGTGGAGGCCCTATGCATTTAAACAATGATGACTTTCTATATGAAAAAAAAAAAAAAAAGAAAGAAAGAAAAAAAAGAAAAAGAGGGAACCAGCAGTTAGCGTAATGGCTATGTCGCTGGCTCCCATGTAGTCGACCGCGGTTCGCGTCCCGGACCAGGTGGCTTAAAACTTACACCGGGCGCATGTGCGTGCGTGCCCAAGATCCCGAGAGGAGAATGGAGGAGAAGGGATTGCGGCGTGACCATCCCCTCTGGGAGGTGATTTCTCGCTTTCTGTCTCTATGTCTCTCTCTGTCTGTCTGGCAAGCGCATTCGCCCTATAGCGAAAACCTCTCAAAAAAAAAAAGAAAAAAAAAAGAAAGAAAAAGAAAAGCTATGAAATGTCTAAGTCCCTGGCATTTATATTTTGTCCTGATGCTATTTTTGAAATGTCAATTATCAAATTCATCTTTTACAGCATTGTAGTGCCCCAGTTTGTCCCTTTCCGTACAGCTGGTCTGCTTATTGTTTAATCCAGCAATGATAAAGCATTCTTTACAAACATAAAGATTCATTTTCTAATATGGACTCCTGTGCCCCAGTTACCATGAAATCAATCACTTTACTTTCCAGCCACTATTGTTTCCCTGAGGGGCTCTCATTAGCCAAGCTTCCTTTGATAAGTGCTTGTTCTGTTACTATTCCTTCAAAGCCCACAACAAACATTCTTTCTACCCAGAAACAGGACAGTCTCTGGGAGGTGACTAAAAGCACAGTGGTGCCGTAGAAGGGAGCTCCTTTCAGACCACATGTCATGGGAGTTGTCCATTTCTTTGGCACCCATGCGTTCTCTTTTAACTTGCAAACAAAGAACGGAGACCTGTATCCTGATCATGGGGAAGGACTCAGCCCGTGACAAATGATCATTTCAAAGGGCAGGCAATGCTCTTCAGATTGTCCTTCTGTTTAAGTTTGAGTGTGTCCCCCTCAAGTCATGTGCTATGCTATTGTAATGGGACTAAGAGGATGGAAACTTAATCCCACTGTGGTGTTGAGAGGTGGAGCCTTTTGGGGAAGTGATAGACAGGAGGGTTGCAGGGGTATTGAAGAGGAGGGGCAAGGCTGTGGGAGAGGGGGAAGGCTTTGGGGGAGGACCTGAGCTGGGGATTGAGTCCTCCTAATTGGATATTTGCAAGGTTAGAAGCAGATACAGACACAGACATGCACACATGCTCTGCTCTAGCTCTTGCCACGTGATGTCCTGCACCACTCCTGGACTACCCCAAAGTCAAGATGCAATCCCTTGCACCTCCAAAACAGTGAGCTAAATAAACCTTTGTTGTTTATTTTATTATTTTTCTGGAGGGTTTTTTTGCTATAGGGCATGTGCGCTCGCCAGAAAGACAGAGAGAGACAGAGAGACGGAAAGTGAGAAATCACCCCCTCCCCAAGGGGATGGCCACGCCGCAATCCCTTCTCTTCCATTCTCCTCCCGGAATCTTGGGCATGCATGCACACACGCCCAGCATGAGTTTAAGCCACTGGGTCCAGGACTCGAACTGCAGTCGACTACATACATTGGAGTCCAGCGACATAGCCATTATGCCAACTGCTGCTCCCTCTATTGTTCATAAATTCCCCAGACTGGGGTATTTCCGTTATTAGTAACACAATGGACCATGACACCCTTTTTTCTAAAACAAGATTCAGACGTAGAGAAGGAGGGAGAGCTCTGAGCAGCCTTCATATTGACAAGTGCTTTGCTACATTGAAGAAAAGCTGATTTGGGGCCATAACCACGAAAATCAAAGAGATTCTCAGAGCTTAATTAGACTTTGGTAGATTAAGCACATGCCAAAGACATGGGCAGATGCAAGGCACTGAAAAGGGGCTGGCAAGTGTCATGGTGGTTGGGTCACTGGATTCCCACATGACTGACCACGGTTTGAATCCTGTAGTGCTCTTTCTCTCTCTCTCTCTCTCTTTCTCTCTCTCTCGTGAGTATACATGTCCTGCAGCAAATGTTTAAAAAATAATAATAAAATTAAATATAATTAAAATTTTTATTATTGATATGAACATTTTGAAGCAGAGCTGTTCAACATAATAACAAGTAGCCACATGTGGCTATTTAACGGAAAACTGAAATTAAATTCAAAATGGGTTCTTCAGTGGCGCCAGCACATTTCAAGCCCACATGTGGCTAGCACAGACACAGAACTCTTCTATCATCACAGAAAGTTCTACTCGCCAGTGAGCGCTATCCTGAAGTATTTAAGTTATCACTATGGAAAGGAAATGTAAAGTTCACGGAATTCTGTGACATATGTATTGCGATTTGGCCTGGGATTTAAGTTTTAATTACACATTTATTGGCTGCATGGGAGTCCAGCAACATAACCACTATGCTATCTGCCGGTAATTACACATTTATTAAAGCGGTGAGAGAACCATACTGTTTTCACTGTCCGGAGACCTCTAAAAAAAATTCATCCAACCTTGGCCAAAAGTATGCTTCACAGCTTTTATGCTCTTGACCTCTTCTCACGCACTCCATCAATAAAGCACAGCCTTCAACAGTCACCTTTGAGCACCTTCAAGGCACTAGACCAGCAGCTAAGCAGCAGGTGTCTCCACTGGTTTCCTAGCAACGGCGACGCGACCCCGCCCGTTCCCACTGCCCCTCCTACCTTATTAGCCTGGAAGGGCGGGGCCAGAAGGTCTGTGCCCAATAGGAGTGGAGCGGAGGAGGGAGTCCCGACTGCGTCCCGGTTGCTAGGGAAACGGACGCGGCCCAAGGTCCCGGGCTAAACCGAGCGCAATGCCGAGCGCTAAGGAACTGGCTACGCTCGCGGAGAACGCGGACGAGGAACCCGGCGCAGACCCACGCCTGCGACTCCTGGGGGCCTATGTGGCCCAGAGCCTGCGGCCGGCTGCGGGCGCCTGGGAGCGCTGCGCCGGGACGCCAGAGGCGGAGCAGCTGTTCCAGGCCTTCCTGGGCCGCGAGGCTGTGGAGGGGCAGAGGCCGCTGCTGGTGGTGAGGCCTTGGCTCGGGGGCCTGGCGGTGCGAGCAGGGCTGGATGAGGCACCCGAGTCCCGCCCTGCCCGCGCTAAGGGGCTTTTTTTCTTGCGCACCGGGCCGGAGCCTCCAGGGCCCAACAGCCTTCGCGGCGCAGTGGTCTGCGGGGACCTGCCCGCAGCGCCTCTGGAGCACCTGGCAGCTCTGTTCTCTGAGGTGAGGGTGGGTTGTGGCAAGGCCTTGGCTGAAACGGGTGGGCGAGGGGAGGAGGAGCCGGGAGGGAGGCAGGGGTCCGAGGGAGAAGGGCGAGGCTGTGGGGGAGGACCTGGACTGAGGGGCGAGGAGGGGCTGGAGCGCAGACTTGGAGTCCAGTTCCCGGAGTCAGGAAGAAAATGAGATGCATGAGGGCGGAACCGCAGTGGGAGTGGAAGGGCGGAGCTGGATGGCAACCAAAACCGGAAGAAGACATCCGAGACGTGCAGATTGTGAACTGTAAAGGTAGCTGGGGATGTCTGGGTGGAGGCCCGGCCAGAACGAGAATGGAAGGGAGTAAGATTTGGGGCAGTGTGGGTCTGGGTTCGGGTCCAAGCCAAAGTCAAGGAGAGCTAGAATCTGAGAAGTGCCTGGGTCCTGACAACTTTTTAAGTCGGTATCTCTTAATCCTCCCTGCACATGGGTGAGAACTGAGGAAGACAGGACATGGTGAGCCAGGGCACATTTCTAATGAACGAGTGGAGTGAAAAGCAACAATCAAGTAGCTTGTGAGGAGGAATTAAAGTGGGGAGATAGTTTGGATTTGATTTTCATCTCGTTCGTTCATCACACACATATTTATTAAAACCCAGCCCTTTGCCAACATAAGAAGTTGGGCATTCATTTGGAAATGCCCCACCGGCATGTGGAGAGTCTACCTGGATCTCAGGGAGGAAGGTGCTGATGTGGATGGTGGAGCACCCCAGTGGCGCTGTAGTAGACGCCCTGAGAGTGTGGGAGATTCTGGTGGTGCTTAGAGAAGATTCTTCTGCCACTTAGACTTCTCGGCACGGGAGCAACCTTCCCTGCAAGTCAGGCATGTGCTCTGGCACGGGAGCTACCTTCCCTGCAAGTCAGGCATGTGCTCTCCTGGAGTTTTTGATGCCTGGATCTTGCAGGCTGTGAACTAAGTACTTACAGAGAGCCGGCAATGCGATGTTCCATGCCCTAGGTGCTGTGGGGAATACGGAAGAATTACAAGGCAAGTACCCACCATTAAAAGGCTTGCTTTAAGGAGCAAAGCTTATTCAATTCATCGCATACTCAAATATTTAAAACTAGTATGACTCCTATGGGAGTTTACCCAAAACTTGGCCTTAGTGCTAGAAGCAAATCCCAGAGATTCACTGGTGACTTTACCAGGAGGCTGGGGAAAGGCAGGATTCCAGGAGAGATGGATAGATAGAGGAGTTGGGGGCGAAGGGGAGGGGGCAAGGGACAACAGGGAAACTAGGTTTATCAGTGGGTTTGGAAGTATTTCAATATCTTAACAACCAGAGTGGCCCAACCACTGAATTCCATACGGATACCATCCTCATAGAAGTTGAAGTTAGGATCAAATTCCCTAATGAATAATGATGATAGACTGTGCTCTTGGGTTCCAAGTAGAAAGATACTCATGTGGTCTGAGAAGCAAGCTTAGCTTTCAATGTCTAACTGGCTGCTGAACAAATACATGAGAAGAATTAGAATCTGTAGAGAGCAAGATAACTTTCAAAGTCTGAGGAAGAAAAAGGTTAAGATGGAGCTCAGTCTAGTATATGTGAGGACAGCAGACCCTTCTCAGAATTTTGTAGTGCTAAGGAAATATAATCCAGCAAGCCAAAAATATTTTTAAATAATTCAGATCTTCAAATGTGCAAGAATTTTCATGGGTGCTTTCAAAACAATTGGAAATAAACTAAATATTCATTGATAGGGGATTGAGTGAATGCATTCTGTACAGTGAAATACTATGTGGCTGTTGAAAAACATAACTGAGATGGAACATTTTTTAAGACAATATTTTGCCGGGACCAGCTGTTGGAGTAATGGCTATGTCACTGGACTCCCATATAATTTACCGCAGTTCGAGTCCCAGACCTGGTGGCTTAAACTCACGCCGGGAGCATGTGCATATGTGCCCAAGATCCCGAGAGAAGAGGAGAAGGGATTGTGGCATGGCCATACCCCCTGGGGGGGGTGGTGATTCTCGCTTTCTGTCTCTCTCTTTCTGGCGAGCACACGCGTCCTATAGCAAAAAAAACCTCTCCAAAAAAGGATAATATTTTGCCATGACATAAATATAAAATTCACCCTCCCAGCAATATCGAAGTGTGTACAATATTGTCAGCCACATGCATGTCCTTGTGCAATAGATCTCTAGAGCTTCCAGGTTTAGCAGGACTAAAACACTGCACACACCAAGCAACAATGCTTCATACCTCCCTTCCAGCCCCTGGCAACCACCATTCTACTTTCTGTTCCTACACATTTGACTCCTCTAGGTATAGTCACATACTGCATCAGTAACTGTTGGGTTGGCAATGGACCACACTGCATATGTCCTGTAAGATAATAAAAAGCTATACTACATAGCCTTCCAGTAACTGTTGGGTTGGCAATGGACCACACTTCATATGTGATATGGTCCTGTAAGATAATAAAAAGCTATACTACGTAGCCTTTCTGTGCCATATGCTACACTATGTTGATTTGTATAAATACAATCTGTGATGTTTGCACAACAAAATGCCCTAAGAGTGCATTTTTCAGAATATGTCCCCCTCAGTACGCAATGCATGACTGTATCTCATATAAGGAATCGTGCAGTATTTATCTCTGTGAGTAGCTTATTTTACTCAGGATAATGTCCTCAGGGTTTTTCTGTGTTGTCACATATGATAGGATTTCCTTCCTTTTTTAAGGCTGAGTAATATTCTATTGTATATACATACAACATTTTCTTTATTCATCAGTCATAGTCACTTAGGTTGCTTTTCTCTCTTGGCTGTTAGTGAATAATGCTGAAATTTAAGAAAAATTTTTTAAAAGGTGCACAATTGTGTGTATCATATGCTCCCATTTCTGTTACAAAGGGAGGAAGGAAAGAAGAAGGTAAGGAGGGAGAAAGAGGGGGTGAGGGGAGGGAGAGAGGATATTCTTTAACAGAGTGGTCCACAAGCGAGGGGAACTCAATGACTATGGTATGGGGATAGGTAGAAGACTTGTATTTTCCACTGTAAAAAGCTTTTACTTTTAAATTCTACATTATGTAAATATGTCATCTATTTAATAAACTAATTTATTTCAAAAATACCTTGAGTCCTTTCCTTGCATTTCACAAAGCCCATAATAATAATCCTTGGTTCATTCAACCCTCTGTTCCCCCATGTACTTGTCTTACACACCCCAAAGCTGAAGTGTCACTTCAGAACCTTGCTCACCTTCCCTCTGCTAAGGCCCTGTCTTCCCTCCACCTCTCCTGTCCACTAGTCTCTCTTTCTCAATACCTTCTAGTCTCTCCTTTCTCAATACCTTGAAGATCAGCATAACCTCTGACCACCTGATCCTCTTTTTCTTGTCCCTCCCTACTCAGCCTCACTATAGTCCAAAAAAAACCCACCTGGCTGAGAGAAGTCTTCCTTCCGTGTGTGTGTGTGTGTGTGTGTGTGTGTGATGTGGGGAGGAGGTGTTGATGTGGAGAAAGCTATAATTTTAACATTATTTTTGTCTCACTGCACTAGGACAAGGTAAAAAAAAATGCATCTGAAAGATGTTTCAAAAGAAGAATTAACAGAATTTAGTCACTAGTTCCCTTAATCTCTTTCTTCCTCTCCCCAACGACTTTATTCACTGCTGCCAGGTTATTTTACCTAGAGTTCTGAAACTTTAATGCTTCTTAAAATGTTTATGTTTTGGAGCTTGACCACAGAATTTGGAGTCTGACAGACCTTGGTTCAAATCCCGCTTCTGTCAAATTCAGCAGTGTGATGTGAGCAAGTGAGCTCATTCTGTCAGGTCCACTTTGTCTAACAGGGTGATTATAAAATTTAGATATAATGTAAGGAGACTCAAAAAGTTCTTAGAAAATTAAAGTATAAATTAATTTTGGTGCAAAAATTTAGAAATATATGCCAAGTTTTTTCAGGATACTCATTTTCCATGAGCTTTTTTGAAGACCCTTCATTTATTAGGACTCCCAGAACAGAGTGTTTCCGTGTAGGTATTCCATAAAGGATGAGAATTACCATCACCCTACATCCCCTTTAAAACCCTCCTCACTTCTCTGAGTGATCTTGTCACCCCACTATAATCCAGACCTGGCTTTTCTGGAGGACTCAGTGGTGTCTCCCACACAGCACTTCCTCTACAGCTCTGATCCCAGAAATACAATAGGTACCCTCCATGGTTCTCCCTGCTGCCTCTAGATTCGTGTTGAACAACCTCCAGTGTAAATTTCCTGTTATCACACAAAATCACCCAGTCAGTGCTGTGTCCTTTGCTGATGGCATGCCCTCATTTCTCCATGACTGTGGTTCCTGGTTCCCTTTGACTGTCTCAAACCTGCTCCTGTCTTATCACATAGTTATTTTGATAGACATCAATGATCCCTCCAGTGACTTCGACTGCATTCTCTGGACTTCTCTCCCCCAATGAACTTGTCCCTCCTACTTAGTACCCCCTTCTGTGGCCATTCCCAATAACCACCACTTTGTGCATTATCACTAACTGCCATCCTCATGATCCAGTTTTAAGCACTTCCTTCTCTGACCTCTGCTTTTGTCTTTCCAGCTCATTCCATCTGACTACCACAGACTCTTGATCCTGCTTGGGCCTCTCATCCATTGACCCTGCTACCTTCCCACTACCTCTAGCTCAGACCATGGTCTTTCCCCCTCATCCAGCTTGAGTGCCATGCTCTGTCATTATCATTGCTCCGTCACATCAACTCCTGGCTTGCTGGCCTTTTCCTCACTGTGTCATAATTTTTTTGGTAAAACCACAATCCTGGTGAGATCCAGCTCTCTGCATACTCCAAACCTGTGTTCATGAAGCTGAATGAGGCTAAGAAAAAAAAAAAAAAACTGGTCCACTTTAAATTTATGACCTCGAACTTCTAGTAGGCCTTCCGTGCTTCCCAGTAGACATCCTGTTTGTTTAATTGAAATTATTTTCTTGAGGTTCTCACTTAAACTATTTTTTTTTCTTTGGTCACTATTTCATAACTTTTTTGGATCTTCCCTCAAATGTCTAGAACTTCCTCTTTCAGCTTCACTGATACTCTTGCTTCTTAGTTTCAAAAATGGAAATAATAGAATAAAAATCTCATGGGTCAGCAGTTGGTGTGAAGGCTAAGGCACTAGATCCCACATGGCCAGCTTGGTGGTTCTAGTCTTGGACCTGGTGGCTTGAGAATCATGCTGGGTGCATGTACACGTGTGACCAAAATCCCAACGGGGAGTGGAGGAGAAGGGATTGTGGCATAGCTTTCCTCCACTAGGGGGTGATTGCTCACTTTCCCTCTCTCTGTCCTCTGTCTCTCTGGTGAGCACTCACACTCTATAACAAAAAAAAAAAAAAGAAGAAGGAAAAATAAAAGAAAAATTCCACAAACTACCCTGTCTGCCAATACCATTGTCATATCCTCTACCTCTGCTGCGTCCTGACAAAGATGCTGTAACAATTTCCCCCCTCCTCCATCCTTATTTCTTCCCTCTCTATAAGATAATTCTCATGAAATAAAGTCCTCATTTCCTCCCACCAGGTATCACCCATTTTAGGATCCCTTCTATAGCAAAATTCCTGGAATTTTGTGTTCCATTCTTTTCTTGATTTGTCTTAGACACTCATTAGGCTTTTACCTCGACACTTCACAAAAGAAGAATGAAGAACTTAGCAATGTTTTCACTAATCTCCACTTGACTAAAATGTGTGACCATCAGTCTACCATCATTCTGCTTGATATCTGTGAGAGCACTGGTCATAGTTCATGGTCATCCTGTCCTGGAAGCACCTCATTCATCTGGTTCCAGGACACCAGTCTTCCCATTTCCTCCCATCACTGCCACGGTTTTTCCCAGTTTTGACAGATGGTACCTCCACTTCTTCCCAACTTCTTAACTGAGAGCTTAATTTTGAAGGATCATTCATTGGACATCTCTCTATATTCTCATTTCCTTGGGGATCTCATTCAACTTCAAAATTTTACAAACCGTCTGAATTTACCACCCCCAAATTTGTTATATCCAGATGTTTCTTCTCTTCTGAACTCCCAACTAGCATATCCAGCTATCTTCATCTTGAAGTCCAAGAGATACATTATATTTTAACATGTTCCAAAACAAAGTCCTTATTTCCTCTCAAGAACGTATTCTATCCTTACTCTTCACCACCTCTGTTAACAGCAACTTCATTCTTCCTATTGCTCAAGCACCAAGTCTTAGAGTTGTTCTGATCACTTTTGTTCTTGCAACCCCAAACACAGTTCATTCAGATATGGCAATGAGTGTAACTTCAAAATCTATATGGAATTAGACCATTTCTTACCTCATCCACCCCTACCCATTGTACCTACTCACTATCTTATGTATTATAGCCATCAACTTGCTAACTGCTTTGCTTTTCCATTCTGCCCCCCTAGAGCAGCAGCTGGAATTATCCTACTGAAAGAGCTCTCAGACTATGCCTTTCCTTTGCTCAAAACTTTTCAATGATATGCATTTCTCTTAAGAGTAAAACTCAAAATCCTACAGGCAAGGACGCATGTGATTTAACCCCCTTTATTCACCCCTCCTACTCTTTCTACTCACCCTGATCCATTTCACTGACCTCCATCTTGCCCCTTAGTCACCCCAGGCATATTCCCACCTCTGGGATTTTGTACTGGCTATTCATTCAACTTGCAATATATTTCCTCCAAGGATTTGCAAAACACTATTTCTGTCGTCCCCAGCCTTTGTTCAAATGTTCACATTTTGTTGATGCCTCCACTGACCTCAGTTGAACAATTGCAGTTCCTCCACCCCACATTCCTAATCCCCTCACCTGTTTCATTTTTGTTAACAGAATATTCTTTATTGACTGTCTCTCCTCTAGATTTAAACTTTACAAGGTCAGAAATCTTGTGTTTTATTCTCTGATGTATCCTCCTAGCACCTAGAACAATACTAGCATATAGTAGATGTTCAGTAAGTATTCAAATAAATTAATAACTTTTCATTTCATTTCATCATTTTTTATCACTCTATGCCCTTCAAAAAAACCAACCCAAACACAATTCAGACAGTATACATTTGGTTATTCTATCAACTTCAATTGAGTGCTTCCTATGATCTAGACCCTAAGGAAGACTTTGTATATAAAGATCAAATAAGATATGGTGCTGCCTTTGAGATCTTAAGAAAATTCCAATTTATCCTCTTTGTCTGTTGGACTTTTTGCTCTGGGTCTAAAGGGTCCTTCTTCAACATGAATGTGATAAAGCTTAGTGTGTGACATTTTCTTTCTTTGTGAGCTCTCTGTTTATCTGTTCTCCGCACAATTAATGTTTCCAGACAGACCAGGCAGGTATAATCCTCTGGAATTTAATGTGCCAGGCCCAGGCATTCTATTTCAGAACTACCAGAACTTATTGGTCACATACCCAACCTTCCAAATAGATCCATGTTTCCTTTTCATTTCTTTGGTATCTTCTTCATCACTTGTTTTTCTAGGATTCTCTTTCCATTAGCTGTGTGATTTTGACAGTGGGTTGTGTTGCTGTTTTAAGTGGCTATGATGGAAATTCAATTTAAATTAGCTCAGAGAGTTCATGAGAAGCTTGATTCAGGAATTCAAAAAAGTCACCAGAATGTGGTCTTTAATCATTCATAAATTCTCTCTTCTCCATATTGACTTAATTCTAAGCTTCTGTATGTAGAAGATGGCCACTAAAAGCTCTACTAGTAGAAAAGAGAAGACATTTCTTCCTTGAAAAGTCAGATCAGAGATGTTGGCTTGATTCTGTTGGCTCAGATTTGGGGATAGGTAGGTACCTGACAAAGGGGAACTAAGTTAAATGACTGAAATGATCATCCTAAAGATGGATTCAAGATCTTCAAATTTCCTTACTTTGTTAGGGTGCCCCCTCGCACCACCTGTAGATTATCTTACCTGCATTCATCCTTTTTTTTTTTAATTTTATTTTTTATTTTTATTTATTTTTTTGCCTCTGGCCTGTGACTATTCAAGTCATCTCCTAGTCAACCTGGTGATGGGGGTGACTGAATACAACATCATCACAATATGAGTGACATTTACAACAACTTATTGGTCATACATACTCTCAGTTTACAGAAGGACACTGTGCCATGCAGGGCTACACAGGGTCACACTTGGGAACAGAGTGAACAACCAGAGGCCATGGGAGTCATACTTTGTAGTGTCAGGAAGGTGGGAGTACCCCCTGGTTCATGTGAGAGGATGCGATAGGCTTATTTGAGTGATGCCATAAGCTGTCAGGAACTGAAGCTTGCTATTCCGGGATAAGCAGGAACTGTGACTGGTCTCCTTAATTAGGACTGTCTTGCTAGGGGACATCACCCACAAGAGCAGAGTGAGGAGGACATTTGTGGACAGGCTATTTGAGGCCCTGCTGATTTTATAAGCTGTCAACGCATCATGTAATGTTGGACCACAATATTAGGCCTTCTAGCACAGTGACCTGTTCAAGCTTAGGTATAGCTTGATGGGCCTTTTTCAGAACAGTCTTTCTTAAGATCACAGAAGTAGAATGCCTGCCTTCCTTCTCTGTGTACCTCTATTACAGGTCGTTATACCCGTCCTGGCCAATGAGAAGAATCGCCTAGACTGGCCCCACATGGTATGTCAAGATGTCAGGCGACATGCGCACACCCTCCAGTGTGACCTCTTGGTTATCCTTGAGCAAGTGAAGGGGAAAACATTGCTGCCTCTTCCAATAGGCTCAGAAAAAATGGAGTTTGTGGATTTCCAAAGTGAGACAGAGTAAGTACTGCCAGCCTGACCATATGGGCCTGTGAGATATGAGAGAAGCTGGTTTATCTGAACATCTTCTTTCCAACTTTCCTACCCTGAGTATGCACAGCTCCTCTTCCTGTGCACAAGGCCACTGCCTGCTCTGTTCGCCAACATCTTCAACTGTCTGTCTGTGCTGATTACTTTCCTTGCCCCATCCCTCTGCCTGAGGCCTTTTAAGGTTATCACAGAAACATGGCTTTTTTTTTTTTTTCCCCCTTATTCAGTGTCATTTCAGGCTGAGAGCAGCCACACTGATCTCAGGATTTTTGTTTATCAGTGTAATGTCTCATCTTTGGCAGAGACCCAGGTCTGGTCTGGGAGGGAGCTGCACCTCTTCCCAGCATTTACTCAGTACATAATATCACAGAACTAACTTTGGTTGCTCTTCCCTAAGCAACTAGGTACACTTTTCAGGTCCTGAGTTTTTGTTTTGCCTTTTTTTTTCTTTTCAAATAGAAACAAATCTGGTTTTGTTGGGGCCTGCAGTGCATGACTCCTGCCCCTGAGTGGGCATTGATACCTGAGCTTCTTTCTTCTCCTTTTAGGACTTATATCCACCATGAGGGGCCAGTGAATGGCATAGTGGTTACATCGCTGGACTCCCACAGGCCAACCAGATCCAGTGGCTTGAAAATCTCTCCAGGCATGTGTGTGTGCACACCCAAGATCCCGGGAGAAGAATGGAGGAGAAGGGGGCCATACCCCTGGGGGGGGTGATTTCTCACTTTTCTTCTCACTGTCTCTGTTTCTCTCTCTCTCTCCAGTAAAAGAATGTGCCCTAAGGCAAAAGCCTCTTAAAAAAACTGAGTTATATCCACCATTAACTTTCACTCTAACTTTGAGTTGTCTTTTTTCTTATCCCCTGGGGATTTTTTTTCTCTTTCAAATCAGGCTATGTAGATAAATAATATATTTTGTTATATTTTATCTGGTGTTTCTATGTGTTTATGACAACAGATGGCCTTCCTACACAAGCTCAGCCTGCCATATTGCCAAGTAGTCCAACGTATTACTGTCATTGCTGTGTATTCAAATCTATGATTAGTTCTGAAGAATAAACTATATACAAGCAATGTACTTTCTTTTCTCTTTTTTAATAATATTTTTCTTTCTTTTTTTAAAAAATTTATTCATTCATTTATTTTAATTTGACTAGAGATGGACACAGAGAGAGAGAGAGGGAAAGTGAAAAAGCAAACCACCACATCCGGGACTTGAATTGTGGTCAGCCATGTGAGAGTGTCCAGCACTTTACCACCATGCCACCTGCTGGTCCCAGCAAGCAATGTACTTTCTAATGAGTTTTTTTCTATTGAAAGTGATTTTCTCCATATATAATCTGAAATTATTTCCCAATTAACAAGAAAATATTGTGGTCTAATAAAAATATCCAATTTTCAAAATAAATAAATGCAAACTACCCTTTTCCTAGTCCCTTTTTAAAAAAATTTATTTCATATTTTTTGCTATAGGGCACATGCACTCACCAGAGAGATAGAGACAGAGAGGGAGAGAGAAATCACCCCTCAGGGAGGGTGGTCACACTGCAATCCCTTCTCTTCCATTCTCCTCTCCGGGTTTTGGGAGTGCCTGATAGGAGTTTTAAGTCACCCGGTCTGGGACTTGAACCACACTTGACTGTGTGGGAGTCCAATGATGTAACCATTATGCTATCTGATGGTTCCCCCTTTATATTTTAATTCAGTATCACTTAACGTGTGTATATAATCATTGCTGAGTTTGTCTCCTTTTGTTCGAACTTGATGATGTCCCAAAAGGATGGATCATTTGAGTAGAGTTGAGTGTCATTTTCCTGTAATACTTTTCATAATCACTTGTGCCATATCATTTCACAACAAATATGAATTCAGTTCAATTAAAGAAAGGTGAGTCTGACTTGAAAATCTGAATGATAATGCCCTCTTTCTTTGTCACTATGTCCTTGGGTCTTGGTATGTACAGTTTTCAGTTAAGACTTTGGAAAAAGGCAGCCAAAATGTATTTCTTTTTTATTTTTAGTTCTTTCTAGACATAGGTAAGATTTTTTAAATAAAAAGATGTATGGGGGAGGGAGACACTTGGGAATTCCATTCTTCATTGAAAAACTGAGGACAAGGTATGATAATGGTATTCAGATGGATGATGGATTGCCTCATGGAGGAGGAAATAAACTATTTCCTCTTGCTGCAGAGGTCAGAATTAAGACAAACATATGAAAATGGCAGGCAGGCCTGGATGGCTCAGTACAGAGACAAACTTTCCCCCTGGGAGAGTCAGTTTGGTTAGGAATGTGCTGTTCTGTCAAATAAAACACTTTTTGTCACTGGTGGGGCTCAAGCAAGGGTTGAGTGGTCATCTGAATAGTTCCTGTTCACAATATCCATGCACCACTGGGAAGACTGGATGGCATTCAGAGTTTTTAAACTAGTCTTTGGAATATCTATAGGTGAACCTTTTGTTCTGGTTTGTTCTGTTACTAATATCATAATTACTTGAATCTGCATAATTTATAAAAATAAAGGTTTACTGAGCTCATAGTTTGGTGGTCCAAACTCCAAGGGCTGCATTTGGTGAGAGTCTTCATGCTGGTGGATAACCTAGTGGAGGGTCAGAACATGAGTAGCACAGAGCATGTCTCTGTCTCATTTCCGCCTTTTAAAACTCAACAGGACTCAGTCATGAGAGTCCCACAATAAAGTCTAATGCTTCCCAAAGGCCCCACCTATCAGTCTCATGCTTGGATTAAGTCTCTATCTTTTCAGCATTTACACTGTTACAGCAGCTCATCAAATTTTAACACAGGAATTCTGAGGGGTCATATTTTCAAACCATAACATCCATGAATCTGAAGGAATAATGAACATACACATATGCATAATAAGCATTTTTTTCCTGGGGAGAGGATCTATACAAATTATTGACTACTCAATAAGAAAAAGTTAAGAAACCATGGGTTAAATAGAATTTCCCACCTATTTTTTAAAGATTTGGGATTCTGTATTGAAGAACAGCCAGGGTTAAGTTATTTCCACATGTTTCAAAAGATTCGTTCTTTCTTTCACAGCTTGGATTCCATAGATAAGTCCGTCATTTACGCCATTGAATCTGCGGTGGTCAGATGGAGCCACCAAGTGCAGGTGGTGCTAAAGAAGGAGTCTTCCCAGCCCCTCTTGGAGAATCCCACCCCTAAGGTGGAGTTGGAGTTCTGGAAGAGCAGGTAGGCAAACAGGAGCTCACTCACTCAAACCCTGGGGAGAAGGTATCTTACAGAGGATAAAGGCGGGACTAGTCTGGGGGAGTCAACCATTGAATGGTTCTTCCCTCCAGTTATTTCTCATCATCCATGGGGCAGACAGCCCAATGTCACTGGACCAATACTGTTTTTCCAGGAACTGGGAGACGAACTTTCCCCAAAGTTCAATAGTCATCCTTCCTTTCTTGGGCTATCATCAATTTGTCTTTGGATATCTTTTCAAAGGATCTTTCCACTACACGTGAAACTAATCTGTCCTCTAATCTGTTCTTCCAAGTGTCTACTCCTTTCTCTGTTGACAGTCGAGGCTAGATGTACACGTGTTTCTTCAGAATCTGGAGCAAGAGAGGGATCTTGGAAGTTGGCTACAGTATGGTCTCTTCTAGGTCCCTGCCCATCATCAGCAGGGCTGGCAAGTCCTTCACTCACTGCTCACTGTGTGTCAGCCCCACGGGGTATCTAGAAAGGCCTCACTACTACGGACCCTGCTCCCACATATTTCCCTCTTCCTCCCGTGTATCATTATGCTGTTACATTCTTTACTGAAAAGGAGACAGACAGATGTGGAAGCAGATGTCCCTGTCTGCACAGAGTGGAGAGCCTCTGTGTCATGTGACCAGGCATGTCTGTAGGACTCCAGTCCCAATTGCTGCTCCATACTAAGATGTCCATCCTCCTACATGGTTTTTAACTCCTCTGCTGACCTGCAAGGCACTTTTCTAGCAGCCCGGCTCCAACAGCATCTCTCTTGCCCTGCCCCAACCTTACTGCAAGGGCTAACGACCTGCAGCTGCCCAGGTTTCGAGCCACCATATGGTCACAGCAGTGCTTCCTGGAGCGGCCCCTTTGAACCTGTATTCCCGACTCAGGCTTTTGCCCTCGCTTCTCTGGGAACAGATGTCCGGGCTCTGTGGACTGGAGTCAAGACTCTGTGGGAGAGCCCTGAGCCAGGGCTGCTCTGTCTATGGAAGGTGGGTCATCACAGACAGTGTGACTTGCATTTCCTGGTGCTCACCTGGATTTGCCCTTCTCTATGAATTGCAGGTATGAGGATCTGGAATACATTTATAATCAGCTGAGAACAATAAAAGTGAGGGGTATGGCCGGACTCCTGGACAAGCTTCAGAGCAGCTACTTTCCAGCGTTCAAAGCCATGTTCAGTGATGTTGAAGCAGGTAAGAACCAGCCAGTGTTTTCACAAATACATTTGGCTTGGATTTCTTATTTAATGATGATTCACTTCTCTCTGTCAGCTTTCAGTGTCAAGTCCTTAGAACCTTCCATGCCTTCACAAATACATTTGGCTTGGATTTCTTATTTAATGATGATTCACTTCTCTCTGTCAGCTTTCAGTGTCTTCAAGTCCTTAGAACTTTCCATGCCAAATCTAGAAGCAGGGGAGCAGCTAAACGAACTGTGCTCTGTTTGCAGTTCTGCTGCCTTGTGATCTTGGGCAAATTCACCTAACTTTTCTGAGCTTTAGTATGTTCCATGGTTATGATGCACCTATGCCCACCTGCCTCCCTATACACTTGTGAGATACTAGAGTTGAATGTACTTTATCAATTGTGCTATACCGTCCGATTGTGTGTTGTTATCTCTGACCTCTGGAATTCAGGTCCCTCTACTCTTAGCTCTTGAGAAATCTCTATTCTGTTTCTGCTTTTTCTGTTCCTACTGTCAGATGGGGCTGCAATTTCCTGGCCATCTGAGCACCAGACAAGCTCAGCCCTTGTTGAAACTGCAAAGCCAGCAAAGTCTATGATTAGAAGTAGGTAAATTTTTTCAGGGCTTCCTCTCCTCTCATTGGTGCACTTTGTTTCTTCCTATGAAACCCCTTCCTCGCTCTTCAGGACTCCAGGCTCCAGGTCAAAATGAATTTTTCAATGTATTTGCAATTTCATACAATTTGAGCTTAATCTAAGAAGCGTTTTTTTTTTTTTCTTTTTTTGAGAGGTTTTCTCTATAGGGCATGTGCATTCGCCAGACAGAGAGAGAGAGACATAGAGACAGAAAGCAAGAAATCACCCCCCAGGGGGGATGGTCACACCGCAATCTCTTCTCCTCCATTCTCCTCCTGGGATCTTGGGCACACACACACGTACCCAGCATGAGTTTTAAGCCACCGGGTCCTGGACACGAACCGCGGTCGACTACATGGGAGTCCAGCGACATAGCCATTACGCTAACTGCTGGTTCCCAGAAGCACTTTTTTTTTTTTCCCAAATATTTTTCCTCTTCCAGAACTCTTTTTTTAAACACACTTTCCCATATGAGTTTGAACATAATATGGTCCAAGGTCTATTGGCTCTGGTAAAGGGAGCAGAATGCTGTATACAGGGACAATGGCTGATCCCTTCTCCCAGCTTCTCTTCCTCATAGTATGGGGTTGGAAACCCCTTAGCTAATGGAATAAAAGTTCCAGTTATGGAGTTTCTGACATGAGATATATAATCGTGAAGAACTGGCATAGGCTTTAGTCTTTGCTGTCCTTTTGGGTCCTAAAATCACATCACAGAGTCTGCTCTGCTCGTTTGCCAACACATCAAGCAGGCTGGTAACAAGATGTCTCTTGAGACCCCAGTGTACTGCATCGCTGAGAGATTCTGTATCCCAGAGGAATCTACTCTTGTTCCCAATTTATACTTCAATTCAAAAGGACAGGTGTCCTCAAAAGTGGTATGTGTGCCACTGTTGCTGAAAGAGATGACTGTGGGAGGTACACAGATAGGTATTTTGTAAAATGTGCTGAAGAGTAATTCTGTCCTTAGCAAGTGGTAACTAGTTTTTTCTTTATGGTATAGATTCAAAGTTTTTGTTTTATATAATTTTATTTAAGTTAAATGGGAATCAATTGAGAGAAAAAACATTAAGGAAGCAATACTACAGGTTATACATAGACATGATTATAATATAAAGAAAATGTGCAAATGCCTGAAATTTGGGACTCTGAAATAAAATAACATGTAGTAAAAGTATGAGTTGGTTATTTAGTACTCCAAATATATTTTTCACATTAATAGGTTCATAAACCCTTGGTCATCAGTAAAGTCATGACACATGTTTTGCATAGGAACACATAGAGGGGCCTGCAGATGGCGTGGTGGTTATGTAGCTGGACTCCCTCATAGCTGACCAGAGTTGGAGGCTTAGATCAGGTAGCTTGAGACTCAGGTCAGGCACGTGTGTGTGTTTCCAAGATCCTGGAAGGAGAAGGGATTGTGGCGTGACCATAGCTCCTGGGGGTGATTTCTTGCTTTCCCTCTTGCTGTGCCTGTCTTTCTGTCTGTCTGGCACACATATGCCCTAAGGCAAAAGCCTCCCCTCATAGCTGACCAGAGTTGGAGGCTTAGATCAGGTAGCTTGAGACTCAGGTCAGGCACGTGTGTGTGTTTCCAAGATCCTGGAAGGAGAAGGGATTGTGGCGTGACCATAGCTCCTGGGGGTGATTTCTTGCTTTCCCTCTTGCTGTGCCTGTCTTTCTGTCTGTCTGGCACACATATGCCCTAAGGCAAAAGCCTCCTAAAAAAAAGGGGGTGATTTCTTGCTTTCCCTCTTGCTGTGTCTGTCTTTCTGTCTGTCTGGTACACATATACTCTAAGACAAAAGCCTCCTAAAAAAAAAAAAAAGGAAGAAAGAAAGAAAAGAAAAGAAAAAAGAAGAAAGGACGAAATACATAGGAAAATACATCATGACTTTCCCAACGACCCAATATAATCATTCACATAAATAGTTACAAAAGATTTATTTTCCCAGGGTAGCTTTGAAAGGTTTCTGCAGCAGAACATATGCTGGCAATATAATTAGAAAAAAAACAGAATAGTCATCCTAGGTATCCATGGGGTTTAGTCCCAGGGACTCTGAGAGTACAAAAATCTGCAGATGCTTATGTCCCTTCTATAAAATGGCATTGCATTTGCATGCAACCTACACATATCCTCCTATACTTTAAATCCTCTCTGGGTTACTTACCGCATCTAAACCAATGTGAATGCTATGTAAGTTGCTGTTTTACTTGCTGGTTTTGTGTATGTGTGTGTGTTATTTGTATTGTTTTATTGTTATTTTATTGCTGTTGAATTTTTTTTTTCCAAATGTATTCTTTTCTTTTAAAAAATTTAAAAATGTATCTCTTTTACTAGTGAGTGAGACAAGAGAGAGAGAGATGGAGAGAGAGGACCCTCAACAATTTCTTATGCCAAGATCCACCCCAGCCTCATCCAGCTCCAGGTAATAGGCACACATGTGCCTGGATTACTGAGGGAGGTCTCCAGACATGAATCTTCCTGTGTGAGCCAGCCTCACAGAACATGAACATTTTACCTCTGCACTACCACCCAGTCTCCTTGAGTATTTTTTATCTGCAGTTGGTTAAATCTGTGGATGAGAAACCTGCAAATATGGAGGGCCAACACCACCATTATAAATAGAACTCAATAAGTACTACTATAAAAATAGAAATCTTTAACTATCTAACTGAATTCTGATGATAGAATTAAAGAAAAGTTCATTAGGGGTGTTAGGTAAAGACTCGGTCAGAAGACTTGGCAAGATCTTCTATGAATAAAAAGAGCCTGGTGACTGATTTTCATATTTCTAATTTAATACCAGAACATCTGGCTTTCTTTATACTATGTGCATTATTCTTATTAGTTGTGATCAGTGTAGTTTCTTGGCTTACTGATGAACTGAAGAGAGGGAGAGGAAAGGAAATATTTCTAGATTAGTGGGCATGGATTGGGAAGCAGTGAGGAATAATGAAGGAGGTTAAGAAGAAAATGTGCAGAAATGAGATTTGAATGAAGTGGAATTGATTGGGCAATGAAAGAACCTTGAAAAGCTGGAAGCAAAAGTTACCTTGAGGGAACAGTACAGGGCAATAAAGACTTATTAGGCAGCAGGCCTGGGAGGTGCATGCCTATAGTCCCTACTCCTCTGGAGGCTGAGGCAGGCAGATAGCGTGTTTGAGGACGGATGTGTTTGAGGCAACATGGTGAGGCCTTGCCTCTAAAAAAATTAAGATGAAAAGAAAAAAAAAAAAAAAAGAAAGACTAATTAGGGTAGTTCTGTTTTCCAGCTTCTATAAAGGCAGGATAAGTGTAATTCAACCTGATTAGCCGTCAAGGATGGCTAAACAGTTATTGTGTGCCTCTCTTTCCTTGTTTAAGTTTTGTTTTTATTTCTCCCATGGTAAGTTTTGCTTTTATTTGTCCCATGAGAAAGAGAGGTAGAATGAGAGATAGGCATGCCTAACAGAGTATGCATGGCATGATCCACTTCCAGCCTCAGTCAGCCCAGATCATAGGCACACACATGTGCCCGGAGTACACAGGGAGACCCTGGGATGCTAAGCCAGAGCCTTCCCATGTGGGTCCACCCTTGCAGAGCACTGTGTCCTTACTTGCCACCACTACCAGCCCTGCATCCGCCCCCCCCTTTTTTGTCTTTGAGAGATTGTTGCTATAGGGCATGCATGCTCACCAGAGAGACAGAGAGAGAGAAAGCAAGAAATCTCTCCCCAGGGAGGATGGCCATGCCACAATCCCTTTTCCTCCATTCTCTTCTCAGGATTTTGGACACATACACACATGCACCTAACATGAGTTTCAAACATCTGGGTCCGGGACTCAAACCATGGTCAGTCATGTGGGAGTACAGCAGTGTAACCATTACACCATCTGCTGGTTCTCCACGCATCTCTTTTTAACCCTCTCATCCCTTTCCTCCTAAGCAACACTCAATGAAATCAAATTGGTATCTTGAAATCAAACATGGTGAGAATATTGGAATATTGGAAATATGCCACAGAAAATTGTCAAATTCTATAACTAAGAAAAGGCATTTGTTTCTGAGAAGACTGTTGTTAAAATATTTACTAGCAAACTACTGGACGTCACTGTACAACTGGTTACTTACGCTCTGTCTTTATTCACTTCGTAAGCCACCATGCTGGCACCCTGGACTGGAAGACCAACGCTGTTCTCTCAACTGTGCTCTTAGGAGAGTGCCTATTTGTATGATTAAAAGAGATTTTTCTTCTTAAAAGTTTATTTATTCCTTCCATCAGAGAGAGTGAGGGTCTTCATGCTTCAATCCACACCCAGCCTCAGCCAGCCAGGATCACAAGTGAACACGCACCTCGCATGCCCAGGGAGACATTGCGGCCTGAAGCTGAGACTGCCCCATGTGGCGTTAGCATTCACAGAACATTGTGTTACTGTCTCGCCAGCATGGCTGACTGGAGATTTTGCTTCTTTAAAGGGCTTAGGGCTCTTTGTCCTCAGGACCTATGTGAGAGCATGTGGCCCTTAGAATGGCATTGGATTCTGAAGCTCCCTACTCTAGCACAGTGGTTCTGATATTCACTTTTCAGCTTCCCCACTTCAGAATTACTGCTCTAGTCAATGTACTGTGACATTTGACTTTTGAAAATCCGATTCACATACTGCTTCCCACAAACCCATTGGGAATACAAAGTACAACACACATGTAGGCATCCTCCTGAGTATGATGAACCTCATGACTGCCAAGGCAGGGATTCCAAAAGATAACCTTCCTTCTGCTCAGCTGGACAGGACTGTTCAGCTCATGGGGTGACCGTAGGCAAGTTATTTAGATTTTACTTTTTTTACTTATAAAGTAGAACTGCTAAAGCTACTTGGCAGGGCTTTATACAAGATGGTTATGTCTAGTGAGTAGGACAGTCCCTGGCATATCGAAACTACAGACCAGCCTTATAGTGCATGGTTAACTATGTGCATTGGGAGCTGGATCCCACACGGCTGACTGTGCTTTCAATCCATGCACTGATGACTTGAAAATTATGCATGACCGTGACATGTCATGGGGTGCTTTCTTCCTCTTTCTCTTTCTGGCAAGTAAATAGGTCCTCTGGCCACTTTAAAAAAATATGATAAGCAATACAAAAATTAGGTGCAACCTAATCATAGAATACTTAAGAAAGAAAGAAAAATACTGTTTGTTAAATATGTTTTGAGTCTCCTTTAGGACAAAAACAGCCTCATCCACATAATATAACCCAAGACCATCTACTCTTCTTTGATGACATTTGATTATCTACCCATAAAGAATCGGCCTTTATATACACCCCTTTCCAATTCAGTTTGCTCAAAAAGCATTTGCCATCCCTCTAAGTTGGTATGCACTCAGCCCAACAAAGCCCCTGGGTTTTCTACACCACCCCCCGATAACTACATGACAACTGGCTAAAGGCCTCTCTCTCTCCTTGACTGTGTTCAAAGGAAATGGTAGGAGATTCTCCTGGCTTTGAACACCAGCAGAACCTTGCCATCATCTGTCTGTGCTATTTCTCCAGGCCCTATGACTTCTCTTGTACAGGAGCTCAACAAGATTCTTAGTTAATGAATACCCGTGAGAGACACTGCCATTTATCAAACCCCCGTTTTAGTTCAAGCAGTGTTCTAGATGTTTATGAAGATTCAGTTTGCATTACCTTCAGCCTTCACAAGGACACTTTAGTTACTGTTCAACCTATTTTTGAGACTCTGAAGTGTTAGGCATGTCCACATGCAGGTTTTTCTGATTCTAAAACACCCTCTGTCATTTCTTTTGTCTTGTCTCCTATATATCAGCAGCAAGGACATAACAAAGGTGTACCGACTGAATTGTCTGCTACACAGAGCACCAGACAGGGGCTGGGAGGAGCAGGGAGATGAAGTTTAGACAGAGGAATGTTGTAAGAGAGAATACCTCAGACCATCATGCTCATTGTTCAGGGCTCTCCAGATTTACGTATTTTCGCATAAGAGCTAGAAAGTTTTTTGGTGGCAGCCTCCTCACTGTTGGATCAGTGTAGGAAGCAACTGCAGGGTTTGCTTTGCAGATCCTTCACTTTCCAGGCACCAGGGCTCCAGCAGGTGGGTATGAACCTACAGCAGGGAATGATGACACCTTCAATTCTTTCCAGCTCTGACAGAGGCACAGGACATCCATGTGCACCTGGTACCACTCCACTGCCACCTGGAAACCCTCGAGAGTGTGGAGTTTCCAGAGGTGAAGTCCCGGCTGCAGCCTCTGCTTCACGTGGTCTGTCTGATTTGGGCCACATGCAAGTGCTACCGCTCCCCAGGGAGGCTCACAGTGCTGCTCCAGGAGATCTGCAACCTTCTCATCCAGCAGGTGGGCCACCCTGGGATTTTCAGCAACCTCTCTCTGAGGGCTGGTTGGCACCGAGTCACAGGAAAGAGCCATGTATGCATTTTTCTAGGCAGGGAATAATTATGGTTCCAAGAGTTCTCACACTTGAATTATTTTACTTCACAAGCTGATAACTCACAAAGACGTTTTCAATAATACTAAGACATTGAGGAGGCCCAGTCTTCCTCTCAGCTCTGTTTAAGAATTGGGCAGGGGAAAGGGTAGGAAAAGTGAATTGCAACCTCCTTCCTGATTTGTTCTGAGGGATTCATATGAGGTAAGTGAAGCCTAGCAATTCAGAATGCCGCCTCTGGAGTCAGGCAACCCTGAACCAGATTCTGCCTTCAGCATTTGTTAGCCGTGTGTGCCAGGGAAGGTCACTTACCTTCTCTGTGCCTCATTCACCTCCTCAGTACAATATTGAAAAGAAGAGGACCTGAGTGATTGTGAGGGTTAATGACATAATGCACATGCCCTGCACATAAGAGCTCAGTACCTGTGAGCACTGGAGAAACAGCTTCTTAGATTATATGGTTCATGTCCCTTTTTCTTAGGAACTCTTTTCATTGCTAACGAGGGCAGGGTACACCTTGAGCAGTGAAACTGACCAGAACTAGAGGCGTTATGGAAATTTGGGTCATCTTCCCCCAAACTGGCTTCATTTGTCCCTAATGAGCTGTGGTCCTGAGAAAACAATAAACGAGCTTAAAGAGTAGCTAACAAGGACTGATCAATGGACCATATTGCAGACTACAAAATTCATGATCTTGTCAATTATCAAATGACCCCTGAAGGGTCATTATCAAGGAGGGCCTTATTATTTATTACTTATCATTATTTAAAGACATGGACTCAGGCTCAGGGTGATTAACTGACTTATCCAAGGATATCCCACCAAGACCTGAACTCAGGTTGTTCTAATCCTAGGCCAGCACTTTCCATTGTTCCTTGTTCATCAGCCAGAACTTTTTAGGTGGAAGTGTGAGAAAACCTGACCAAAATTAGCATCCACAAAAAGAAAACGTGCTGAGTTGTGGACCATGAAAATTGAAGGAAAGGGTAGGTTTGGCCCTGACTTAAAACGTACCCTTCAGATGTGGCCAGGACCCAGTTATCTCTGTGGTCATGATGGCGGCTGCCCAGTAGTTTCAGCTTTTCAGTTTTCAGGTTCAAGACTCTTGGAAGCAAGCAAAAAATTATGATCCAATGGGGCCAGCAGGTGGCATGAGGGTGAAGGTGCTAGAATCCCACATGGTTGACCACAGTTTGAGTCCTGGGCCCAGCAACTTGTAGCTCACACTGGACATGGGTACATGCATACCCAAAATCCTGAGAGGAGAATGGAAAAGAAGAGATTGTGGCATGGCCATCCCTCCTTGGGGAGAGGGGGTGATTCACTGTCCCTCTCTGGCAAACATACACACCCTATAACAAAAACCTAAAAAAAAAAATAAAAATAAAACATTATGGCCCAAAGAATTTTTACACTTAAATTATTTTACTATTGAAAGCCAGCAAGTCACAAACACCTGTGAAAGACTACCTGGCCTAACACCAGCTGGCCCAACAAGTCTCATTGTGTCTCCTGGTCTCTGACTGGTCCGTTGCCTAACCCTGAATTAATCTCTGTGGCTCAAGAGTCATTGAGATTATTGGCTTAAACCCTGTTCCTAGTCTACCTGTGGGACTTGGGCTGGAGTCAGATGTTCCCTGTATTATGCTTATGGAAAATATTACTTGGACAATTGTTTAGTTCCAAGTTAGTGTTGGCAAATTTAAGGGACGTGCTGCCCCTTCAGCCGGGCTCAGTGACATTCACCTGTTTGCATTCCAGGCATCCAATTACCTCAGCCCAGAAGACCTCCTGAGAAGTGAGATAGAAGAAAGTCAAAGAAAACTGAGAGTGGTCTCAGACACCTTGAGCTTCTTTAAGCAGGTGTTTCAGGACAGAAGGGAGAACCTTCATACTTACTTCAAAGAGAACCAGGAAGTCAAGGAGTGGGATTTCCAATCCTCTTTAGTCTTTGTGCGGTTGGATGGCTTCCTAGAACGACTGCATGTGGTGGAGGTGAGTGTGAGCCTCACTTCAGGCTGTCAAACCCAGAAAGGAGTAAGCAATATAAGCACCAAAAATGCAGCAAAGAAAAAGGAACAGCACAGCCTGCTGGGCAAACTTCCATTGATTGGAAAAACCCATAATAAGGGTTCAACAAATATTTGTCATTTGGATTGATCGCCTTATAGTGGTGTGACAATCCATACATCATAGATGTTTAGGAAACTCTGATCATAGACCCATTTTGAAAGAAGGCCCAAGGAATCAGCCAGCTAATCTATCTGGTTTGCAAATTGCCCATAGTCTTCTACTTGTGTATCAAATAAACTCTGACTGAGAAATCCAAAATGAAAGTCAGCAGATCAGGGTGCAGCCTGCTGTTCCCCTGAAGCTTGTTGCTTTAACTTTTCCTCTTCTACTCTTCTGCCCTCCAGGTGGCTCTGCAAACTCCGAAACTAATGAACCCCCATGCAAAAGAAATACAATGTTGGCACAAAGACATGTCTACCCATCAATTATTTATAAATTAATGTGAATTTTAGTTTGGATACTGGGGGAGAAGACCTGAGGCTTTTTCTTTTGATTGTTTCAACTGTAGGATTTAATATGTGGTCTTTTAATATTTCTCAGTCATATATTTGTTGATTGAACTTTGTAGGGAGGATAATGGACATAATGAAATGAAAGATGTACTTACACTAAAACCGATTAGAGAAATTCAGGGTCGAGCTCAAAATTAGGAGAATGGACAAGAGAAAGATAAGGAATTAGAATCATATTCCCAGCTGCTATTAGTGGAGATTTGGAGTGAAGAGAGATGTGTTCGAGAGAGGCTGTAATGAACAGAACTAATCATAGGATTGCAAAGATAAGAGAATATGTGATTGAGTCTGTTCATTTCAGTGCAGAAAGTATCGATCCAGGACAACCATGCACCAGGCACTGAGCTGGGTACTGTGATACAAAAATGACTAAGGATTTTTGCCTTTAAGAAGTGTATGGACCTGTAGCTACAGCAAAGGAAAAAGTCACCAGACTAAGAAAGGAGGTCCAGGGGTGGAAAGACAGACTCTGGAAACTTTATTGAGGTATAGTGAATGCTGTAACAGAAGCAAAATTCTCTTATTGGGAGCAAGAAAAAGGGGCTCCCAACCCACCAGGGCTTAAAAAAAAAAGTAGAAAGCACGAGAGGAAATCAATTTTGAAATTAGAGTAAGTAGGAAAAGATGGAGAAAGACATAAGACAGAAAAATGCATGAGAAGAAAGAGAAACTAGAGCCTATGAAAGGTACCCCTTAAACCTGTCATGGGGAGTATAAATAATTGATATCATCCTAAATGCTTCCTTTCCTGCAGCTATTTCCATCACAACCCTTGGTGTGCAGCCACTCTATCCCTCCTCCTCCACTCTTTAGTCCTCTCATCTCCCATATCGACTCCTTTGCTGGCATGTAGCTAGAGATGATGGACGCTCCGCTTCCAGCCCGCCCCTGGCCTGGTCTGACCACAGAGGAATCCTTGCCACTGCCATATTGCAGCTAGCCTGTTTGCAGGCTCTCCATCCTTGTGGACAGCCCTGGGAATAATAGCAGAGCACAGCTCAGAAATGACTGCTCGGGCAGGATCCTTAGGCCCTGGGCACACATGCTAATGCTGTGACTTTGCATATAGACAGCTCTTCTCCCATTAGGGCACCTAATCTGCTGGGTATATTCCATAAATGTAAGCAGAGAGGGCCGCCAGTCCCCCTGGAGTCATTACCCTCACAATAGTCCTCTCGCTCAGGCTGCTTTTTCCTTCAGAATCAAGGGCACAGATGCATGAAAAGCATTTGCCCCAGTTTAATCAGAGAGTGGTTTGAATGCCACTGTGCTGTCTTTACGCATCTTCCCCCTCCTAAGTTTTCTGTCCTTTGCTCTGGTTTACATCTTTGCTCCTATGCCCAGTTCTCCTCCATCTCTCTTCCTGACTTTTCCCCCCTCTCCTTCCTTTTTCCTAACTCTTCCTACTCTTTCAACTTGTCTCCCTCCCTTTCTCCTTTTTCCTCTCTTTTTATTTCCTTCACCTTGCTATTGGCCCTGACTTTCCACGCTCTTTCTTTTTCTTGTGGCCACTCCTTTACCCCCAGCTTGTGTTTCCTCCTGTCACTTTCCATCTTGCTAATGTTTGCTCAGACTCATCCCCCTTGCCCTTTGCCATCTTCCTCCTCCCCCATCTCTTCCCTGCTAGCTTGGTGCAGTGGGACCCAGGACTATCGATTGTCTTCTGGTATATTTCATGTAGCCCTTTAGTTAACATTCTCTGTATCGTTGTGATCAATGCCTGTTTGAAATGGGATTAATCTGCCTTTCCCCAGCAAGAATTAGCATGAATTTAGCCTTATTTACCTTCTGTTCCAAGACCATAGATGGCCATTGAGATGATGGTGCAATTAACAAACACAGGAAACCAAGTTAATGAAAGACATCCGTGCGTTTACCCCTGTGCATGCCCACATCAGGGTTGCTTGTGTGAAGGGCTGGCTTCTACTCTCCACAGTTCTTCCAGCTTTCTCCCCTCTGATTTGTGATGCTGTTTTCCTTTCTTGCACAAAATAATTTTGTTGTTCAGATCCACTCTTCACCACTGGGTGCTTGCTAAATGAAGGGAGGGTCTGGAAGGAGGGGTGTCTTGCCCAGTCATTTTTTAGGTCTGCAGTATGTGCGTAATGCATTCTCAAGGGACCACTGTCATCCTCCTTCTCATCACAACTTTGGTCTAGCTAATCTCTTAGAAAGCTAACCTTCGTGTTGGGACCAGTAGATGTTGTAATAGCTATGTCGCTGGACTCCCATGTAGTCAACCGCAGTTTGAGTCCTGGACCCGGTGACTTAAACTCATGCTGGGCGCATATGCATGCATGCCCAAGATCCTGAGAGGAAAATGGAGGAGAAGGGATTGTGGCATGGCCATCCTTCCTGAGGAGTAATTTCTCGCTTTCTGTCTCTCTGTCTCTTTCTTTCTGGCAAGTGCACGCACCCTAAAGCAAAAACCTCTCAAGAAAAAAAAGAAAAGAAAGAAAAGAAAAGAAAAGGAAAAAAAAGAAAGCTAACCTTTGTGAACAGATAGAAAAAAGAAAATAGAAAAAAAAAATAGAGCTAATATGTGTTGGGGCCAGACTGTGGCACAGGGGTTAAATGCAATGTTCAGTGAGTCAATCCCCCATGGGAATTCTCTCAGTTCAAGTCCGCAGGCCTCCCTGAGTATGCTGGGCACAAGTGTTCCCAAGACCCAGTGCTGACTGAGGCTGGGCTGGATGGCAGCATTAAGACTCTGTTGGGGAGGGAACCAGCAGTTAGCGTAATGGCTATGTCACTGGACTCCCACGCAGTCGACCGCGGTTCGGGTCCCGGACCCGGTGGCTTAAAACTCACACCGGGCGCGTGTGCGTGCGTGCCCAAGATCCCGAGAGGAGAATGGAGGAGAAGGGATTGCGGCGTGACCATCCCCCCTGGGGGGTGATTTCTCGCTTTCTGTCTCTATGTCTCTCTCTGTCTGTCTGGCGAGCGCACGCGCCCTACAGTGAAAATCTCTCCCAAAAAAAAAAAAAAAGACTCTGTTGGGGATGCTATCTCTTTGTCTCGTCACTCAGGAAATAAATACACTTTAAAAAAATAATAATACATGTTTCAAGAACCTATCTCAAGCCAAAACCCACACCTTTGCAATCATCATGAAGTGTTTGGTATCAATACCCTGACTTTAACACATGAGCACACCTAAATACGATACATAAATTAGCTTTACAGCTCAGAGAGGTTTAGCTGGGATTTATACTCAGGAGCATATGATTCCAAGTATTCTCTTTCCACCTAACTTTGATATCTTCCAGGGAACTGCGAATGTCCGCTTCCTTCCCTTCCCTCCCTAGCTCTTTTCCTCTCTTCCCACCTTCCTTCCTTCCCATTTTGAGGATTCCAGACTGGCTTTGTGGTTTTATTGTGCACTTATACACTCTATTCTGCCTTGAACACCCTATTTTTTTTTTTTTTTTACCATGAACTTTCTAGCGCTTTCTGTCTATCAGTAAATAAATCATTCTGGTAAAGTTACAATTTCCATTCCAGGAAACAGCCTTATTTGACTTTATGACTTACTACAGAAATCTCAAAAGTATATAAAGTCTTTGCAATCCGAACAGTCAAAAATCGAAGAGAAAAAGTCATTAGTTGCCCCTGGATTCTTTCTCTCATCCTGCCTTACTGCTCAGTGCTCCGATACATACATGCACACTCACACATACGCACACATACGCACAGAGCTTATCTTTTTGGGCCATAATATTGTAGATTCTACAGATCCCCTATTTGTGTGTCTGCCTGCAGCCTCTTCCCTGCAAACAATGCAGTAAGCAGGTTGAAGAGAACCCTCATTTCTTTCATTATAAAATTGCTGTAAAGCTGTGATTCACTTGGAGACAGAATGATTT